ATGACGCAGATAGAATTGCCAATAAAAGCGATCATAATTTTAAATAAGAGGTTGATGTTAGCCACTTGTCGCGTTCTAATGCAGCCTCAATGGGCAAAGAAGACGCTGGTGGACTTAGTGACTGTTAGTACATTCATAAAGACAAGTAACCTAAGTGGCTTAAAGCTCCATGTGTCGATAAATGTGCAAGAGCTGCAAGATAAGATGCTTTAAAGTTTCTTCCCAGTGCAAGTTCTTGTGAAATGGTTAAGATACTTCGGTGCACCAGTAAGCCTATCACAAGTGTACAGTCAGCGCACCACCGAAAAAGCAATGTGAAGCTTATCACAAAACTGTACTAGTGGCCATTATGGAACGATGGATTTTGTCACATATAAAGCGGACTGGACAAAATTGCCTAAAAGAGCTACAAACAGAATGATAACGCTATCGTGCTTTTCTTGCTGTGAGTTTTCTTGCAAAGCACATTCAGGAATGACGGCAGGCATGATCTACGTGCACATCCTGAAGCGAACGAAAGTACGTTAGAAGAATTAGACTTTTTCTACCCTTATCTAGTCGGAATATTTGAAAATGTGAGTTATTTTAAGCAATCAGATAACGCTAGCTTGGCGATGCGATCAAACAAAATATATAACTTGCACGGAACGTCCGCTGTCATAATGGCAGTGTCAGCAATTTTGTTCCATAGCCACATCTTTGACGCCTGGCAGTACCATCACTTGACCTGTTGTAAGTCATTTCTATGGTGTGGTTCATGTCGTGTGTCAAGTGAAAATATGGTGAATAGTGACAACACCATGACATCAGATGCGCACGTGGTCAGCCGAGCTTCTGGTCACCGATAGTTTCTTTAGTTTAATCCACTGGCAAGGTTGTCAATGGGATAACACTTTTACGGTGTTCTCTCGACACCGAAAACCTACTGCTATTATTATGAAGTTATCACTAATATCAAATGAGTATCGCCGTGTGACAGATTCTGTTTTCTGTACAATACAAGGCTGACGAAATGATCAGTAAGATTATTTCGTCAGCCTCGTATTGTTCCGGGTATGTTTGTCATAGTATCGTCTGGTTAAGCATAGTTAGTCTGGATCCTTATCCTACCGCATGCCAGCTGACCACATGCTCACACTGTCAATTCGATGGGCACTGCGCTGAATCACTGCCCAAGTAGCTAAGTTTTCACCTTTATTGCTTTACTTAGGCTCCGGAGCTCAGGAAGCCTAATTTCCACCAACAAGTGCACATGAGTACAGCCAGCGCTTCCCGTGCTTTCGGAGCTTAGCGTTTTGAAAGAATAATTTGGAGCTTCGAGCTGATTGCGAATGACCTGCTTACTTGGCTGACTTTGTTTGTCATGAGAGTAGAGTTAAGTTACACTCGCCTTACCATTTGTTTTGATCGCCAGCTGTCTCATTACCTATTAGTTGCAATCTAATCTTTCAACACCATTCACTCACCCGAAAGAAACGGCTATTCATGTTTCTAAGCAAGGAAGATGGTCAGTTGTTTTGTGTGCACAACCTTGCGTTGAACAACTTTCCTGAGTCATCCAGGATGGGAGTTGGAATGTAAGAACTAGTTAATTATCACACAGGCAACGCATGGGTGAATATAATGATGGACATCACGACGATCCAGATGTGCATCTTGATCATGAATGGATGCATACCGTTATTTGTGAGGCGAAGTGAAGAGCTTTAATGTCATAGTTAAAGCCAACATCTCGGAGTTATGTAGTGCTAAAGCCAGCAACTTCCAAGGAACTATGCTGCCACTAACATACGTGTTAACAACGCATCGTAGTGGTCAACCTTTTTTTAAAAGGCGAAGCCTGTCGTCTCCTGCTTTTCAGCATGATCACTGGTTAGTGGTCAATGGTATATTGCGGATAAAAAAAGCCGAATCTTGACGCGTTCAGCCGGATGATCGGTTAAGGGTAAGCAAAATAAAGGCAAAAATGGCAATAGAAAATAGTGAACAAGCGCAAATTGCGAACTTGCCGATTACCTAGTTCCCGTTCGTTTTATGTACTATCCAAGGTTATCGTCTGTGGTTTCCAGACAAAACTGGAAGTGCGTAGGTTTGTTTTTGTTTCTATGCGTCGTTTGGAGTACGTGATATAGTGTAGTGTGACCAGTGCACTGTCGACACTTACTTTGAACACGGCTAACGTGGGGTCTGAAACAGCAGCTTCTGAGAGGGTATCCCATGTGTGCCAAACAAGCAGCGAGAAGAAGTTTCTTCGACACTCCAGCCGACTGTATTGTTCTGCCAAGGTAAGATGATAACCTCTCAGTTGGCTGTTGTGACTCAACTTCAGTAGGTGATGGTAGTGATGATTAGTGTTGTTTACTATTTGATAAGTCATGACTAGGTCACCACATAAACGGCGCTAATGTCCGCTGAAAATGCCAAGCACTCTGAGGCGCTGTTCGTAGGACAAGTGGTTGCCAGACGTTAAGGAAACTCCAAAGCTAGGTGATGCCGCTTTAGCCATAGGCGCCATGCTTGAGTTGCCTATTCAACATGAGGGTGTACATAAGCGAGAAGTATTTGACGGAAAATCGCAGGTTCGAATTGCCCGAAAATTCTCCGTAAAAGTCTCACGAGTTGAATCCTCGTTTTCGATGACTTTCTGGACTGCTCCGAGCAGCCTAGATCTTCTTGCACCAGCACGCCAAGTGTTGCAGATTCTGGCCCCCCAGACTATATGTGTGAACCGTTCGGTGTCCTCAAGGCAGCACTCGACATTTAGCCACATTGAAGAAAAGGCGATTTTGGACCGACCATCTATGTCTTGTCAAGATCGATTTGAAGCTGGATGCGGTCTTCTGGAGCTCTGATCACTCGCCAAACTTTGATGTCATCGACGTAGTGTAAACAGTTTGAAGCTCTTCGACTCACTAGATCGTTTAGGTGAACCAAGAATAGACGGGGCCCCATCGCCGAACCCCTTGGCACATCGTATTCGACATGAATTGGATCTGACATGGATCCACGTACTCTCACCTCCAGAAGCCTGTGCGAGAGAAAATTACAGATTCATCCAAGGAGAGAGTCCTCAACTTCACATCCTTGAAGTTTGGTGCGAAGGTTACGATGATGCAACCGGTCGAATGCCTTAGATAAATCAAGGTAAGCCAAATCAGCTCCTGCACCATCATGCACAGTTTCGGTCCAGCTGTCTCGTGTTAACACTAGGTTGGTTGTGCAAGACCGATTCTGGCGTAAGCCGTGTTGCTACTGAGCAATGTAACCAAAACCGTCCAGATAAGACATGAATGCGTCGGGCAATGATGGTCTCCATTACGTTTGAAAGAACTGGCAGTCGAGTCACTGGAGGATAACTAACTGGGTCGGAATGCCAACCCCTTTGTAAATAAGAGTAAGTATTCCGTGTTTGCTAATGAGCTGGGGAACTTTTATTTGTAATCATAATGTTTTCGTCCCAGCTGCTCACAAGCTACATAGTTCAGCCTAGTCCGGAAATGCACCAGACACTTTTAGCCCTACTGGGGCTCGTCAATGGTGCCCCATTCCCTCGGTCCCCTACTGGAGATCCAACCCATGACCGCTAGAGGCAGATGTCCACTAACCAGCAACTTAAGCCACTGAGCCACGGGGGACATCGGATGAGCTACACTATTCGGAAGCTAACTGGGACGTACCACGACCTATCTTCCATTGCCGCGCAGCTTACTACCTTAGCAGATGACAGTGGCTAGCCACCGAAGGTCATGACTCCCTCTCACTAGACGCCATGTCCATAGCATTTGAAACTAGGTGAGGCTACATGTTATATTACTATTATTATATTACATAATATTATACCCTATGTGTATTATATATGGTATAGATTATTTTATATGATTGTTCATTACTATTCCTTGTTTCCACGTTATAGGAACGTGCGGAAACAGCCGCGCCAAAGTTTCTGCAAAAATAGTAGCTGCCACAGCAAGCGTCTTTGGGCGGATATCGTCAATTCCAGGACAGGCGTGCAGATTTCTCATCACGATGTCTGCCGTACAATTTATATGAGTGAGTCCTGGTGTGGGCACCATAGATTCCAAAGCTCCAGGAGACCACGTGATGAAATGGAACGTTGGTGCATATTGTTATTGCAGAACATTCGGCACTGCTTTAGCAGTCGGTGTTAGACCATCCGCTGTTTGAAGAGGGGGAGATCTACTTTTCACTTTGCGGAGGCTGTTCACGTGCTTGTACAGAAGCTTAGGATTTGAAGTTAATCCCTCAGCAAAAGCATGGTTATAAGCTACGTTGGCCTCGCGCATTACTTGCGTACAATGGTTCCGGTGGACAACATAGGCCTTCCAGATACTCGGAATCGGATCGGTTTTGTGGGTATACCACGTCGCGTTGCGCATCATCATGCGTTTGTGTGTCCTACTCCGTATAAACGACGCCAAGTTTGTCGAATTGATAGTCTTACTTTCCCATGTTCCACTACTCAGGTGTTAAGCTTACTGGCGAAACCTTCCCAGGCGATATCGAGTGCATCCTCGGTTAGGAAACTCCAGTCGGATGCTTCAAGCAGTCGGGTTAAGATGTCGTAACTGATTACGGTTCACGTCGTTTAAGTTCTGTCCTCCGGATATTCAGCATAGCAAGTGCACATGCAATGCAAAGTTGCATCATCACTGTGGCGTAGAGGAGTATCGATTGTCACTTGACCATCAGTACTTCAGTAGTGAATATTCAGTCTAATATGGATGGCCAGTTATTTTCCCTGAATCTGGTGGGCGAACTAACGGGGACATAAAGCGGAAAATCTGAGATAAGATCCTGCAGACCTGCTTTGAATTGCCGTCCTGGTGTGATCTGACATTCTAAAGCATGTAACTTGAAATCGCCGGCGACTAGAATGTGACTGTACTTCCTGTTTATCATCTGTCTCAATGCGGCCACCCAGTTGAATTCCATCTCAGATGTAGACGATGGTGGGCGGTAAACAACAGCCACTAGGACAAGATCGTCCCTTCTCAGCCAGAAGCTGCACCAAATGGAGTCAGATACATCGGTTTCCGAATCATGTATGGGTTCGCGCTGCATGTTGTTAAGAAAGTAGACGGCTACCCCACCACCTTTGCTGGCTCGATCATTCCGGACAACGGACATACCCAAGCTGCTGACGCGTGTCAAAGTCTTAATTCAGTTAATTTGATGAGTAGACCTTGGGCAATTTTGTACATGCATGAGAGTTTCTCGGAGACCAAAATGTGTTGAATGGAATGGATGAGGCAAGTGAGTTTACGCCTATTGAGGTATGGTCGGCGGCTTCTCGTTTTTTTAGATGGGCTGCAGACTCTTGAGACAAAATTAGTATGTATACAAGTATCAGATGCCTCGGCTCCCGGTCTTTGCTCGTGCTCTGTTGTGTCCCTCCGGATGTTAAGGCTAATATTGAAACCGTCAACGAGTCAGGTCCTACAGTTGGTGCTTTTATTGAGAGTTGCGCCTCCATTGATTTGTCATTTGAAGGTGGTGGTGCTTCTGCTGCTTTCGGACGAATGTCTGTTGGCAACCTGCCACGGAATTTAGTCCAGTTCTCTTGAAGAGTTTGTATCGTTGGTTCTGATTGCAACCCCAGTTTCAACAGTCTGGGACCGCAACTATTTTAATTAGATGGTACGGGGATCCTTCTTAACGAGGTGACCACGACCGTTTTGAGAGATAGAGCCTCATGGACGTAGTGCCATTGCTCCCGGTTGTGTACCTGCACATCGTCGGAAGAAAAATCAGTAAGCTCAAGAACACCGGGAGCAATCACAGTTTTCTTGACTTTTGCTGTTTCTCTCTCTGTTAGTGTGATCCGCTGCACGTTCTTTCCACGGGAGTTCAGGTAGTATACACACTCCACTCGAGACTTTACGGAGTCGATTCGCAGATAGCAAAACGGCCTCTGTCTCATCCACCGAGTTTACTGTTGCCCGTAGTAACCGGGGTTCACCGTAGTGCAATGCGTTTGGGTGACGCGAGATGTGTTTTAAAGTCGTGCGATCAGCACGAACACCAATCGCCGTACAGCGGGAACTTCGTTGATTTCGATCATCTGTCAACCTACCCTTAATTGTATTGGATTTGGATTCGGAGACATTAGTGCACAGAAGGTTTAAAGCACCATACTTGCGCGTGGTGGCTACTGGTTTTGGAGCCATAGATTCCGGTGCTTTTGGTGAATATGTGAACGGCACTGATCAAGGCCATTCGTGCTGCGACATTTTAGTTTGCTCTAGTCTGGTAACCAAGGTTACGGGTGCTAGTTCCGGTGTTTGCTTAGCGGCAACCGATGCGTATTTTACCTGGTTTCTCACTGTGGCTGTCTGACTGCAGCTCAGGGTCTCCTGTATAGCGATCATGCCTGGTTTGGTGTGTCTCGATAAATTCGAGAATAAACTATTTTTTACTTTTTTACTAGATAAAACACACTGTAAGTAGTTGAAGCAGACATGCTGCAGTCAATGATTTACTTATGGGGGAGA